TTGGATTATACTTGGTGTAGTAGTTTTCCGGTATTGGAATACACTTAACAATTGTGATGTGCTGCATGCGTGTAAAGGAGACTATGAAATATATTTTTGACGTTTATGTGTCATTGACGAGGTTGAAATGAAGGAAATTAAGAAAAACATTTGTAAGCCTTGGAGAGATTGTTGGACATTATGCTCAGGTAACTTTGAGCACAAGGTGAAGGACGCTATTATAGTTGGGTAATGATGATTTATGCCACCATTATGGTTGTTGGATACCTATTAACAAATTGAGGAATTATCACCCTCAATCTCTTTTTGATAGTAGACGAGATCATATCAGATGGGATACACTTGTCTTGCTTGCTTGATAGTGAGTGAACTGAATTGACGTATTAACGAGAAGTTAGTCGTTCACCATTATGTATGAACCTAATGCAAAAGTGAACCATTATTTTCTGGTGGATGCTAAAGAGAGTCTGAAGATAGACGTGGAACTTGTAGGTTTAATGGTTGACGAGAATCAAAATGAGGACAGTGACTTTGAGGTAAATGATCAGAGTGGCGTAGCGGAAGCGTGAATATGGCACACTTTCTTATGCATGTATGACTTATTAGGAGTCGAGGATTAAACGTTAAATGCCTGAAGGAGTGATGCAAACATGTAGATATTCCAGAATGGAATTGATAGGAGGAGGGTTTGTATGTTTTTCGTGTTGCTGACATGTCAATAGAATATATTGAATTGCGTGTTCGATTGGTGAGACGTAGCATTGTAGTACTGGTGAGTGTGTCATTGTTGTCGATATTATGGTTAAGTTTATATGCTTACGACGGTATTGTTGTGTAATGAAGTGATAGATTTTGTATCTTAGGATGATGGAACGAGGAGTAGGACGAATTGATGCGTTCATAACCCGATAGCAAGGAATTTTGTAGGATCATGGTGGTTGACTAGGTGAAATGTTGGTTAGTAATACTTGAAATAATGCAAAACATGACATGGGAGTTGGAAGGAAGGACGCGATAGTCGTATCCGGAGTTGTTAGTATCAGATAATTTTCGAGGATGAAAATATTCTAAGTGAGGGAGAGTTGTAACACCCCAATTTAATTAGAATTATTTTTAATTAAATAATTAGAGGGTGCGTTGTATTCTAATAAATTAGTTGAAATTATTTTATTAAATAATTAGATTATGCGATATATTGTATGCGTTGGTGAATATTTTGATGTGATGTTATATATATTTGTTAGTAATTAAATGTCTTAGAAACTATATAAGTTGAGGTGATGGGGGTGTATGGCTAAACATGTAAAAATATAAGGGTGAGAGTGATAATTGACATTTTTGGATTAAATATGAGATTTACTATTATTATATAATATTTAAAATAGAATTATTAGTAGAATAATAGATTTAGTATTATTTTATTAAATAATTAATTAATTAAGAAGGTTATATTATTATTGAGATGCATTAGAGAAAGAATAAGGGAAAATAGTTAGATCGTAGAAATAAGAGAAAGAGAGACGTAGAAGTGAGAAGAGGAGAAAATACTAGAAAATTAGGACAAAAAGATTCACCGTAGGAATCAAAAACCACGATAATCTAAGGTAAGGGAGAATTCTAACACTATAATGAGTTGCCTAATAATGGAGTATGATAGTGTTTAAGTTCCTTAACTTTATGCTCTTGATTTATCGCTATTTGGTTGTTTTGAGATTTTTTCCCCAATGATGAATTCTTGATGTTTTTGGTATGTTTTGATGAAATTGAATGATATAAATTGATTAGAATTGATAGACAATGTTGGTGAATAATTCGCATGCTTGAAAGATATTTTTTTGATGGGAATATTGAAAGTTTGGGTTTTGAAAAATGGAAAATCGCATTTGGAAAAGTTTGCTGATTTTCGAGTTCTGCAACAGTGGTAACCGGTTACTGGTCTGGTGATAACTGGCTACCACGTGAAAATTTGAGAAAAATAGGCTATTATGTTACGCATTAATCGGTTACCGTAATGCAATAACCGTTACCGCTGGCAGATTTTGAAAAACATAGCTACCAATTTGTGCAGTAACCGATTACTGATATTGAGTAACCGACTACCACTGTGTTAGACAATATATTGAAAACTTCATAACTTTTGACTCTGGTGTCTTCTTGACGCGTCGTTTCAATCCACGAGAAGCTAAAAATATTTTCTATCTAATAAAAACAATTTGAAAACAATATGAAATAATTTTATATATTCTTGTATTATTTCGGTATTTTGATGTAATGTAAAATTGTAAATATGATGATGGAATCAATGAGATTGGTATTGTGATTGAGTACGATGATGTTGCATTTTAATTGTGTGACATGATATGCATGATAATGATGATGATGATGATGACGACCTGTATTAGCGTGATATTGATAGATACGAATAATCAATGTGAAATTATGTTGTTGCATATCAGTGCCGCATGCATTCATTAAAAATAACTCGTATTGGCGAAAGATGGCCTATATTAGCGAAAGATGGCTTGTATTGGTGAAATATAATTTGTATTGGCGTTGTTTCTCCAAGTTGGCATTTATTATGTTTAGGATTTTTTCCTATTGATACCGCATGCATTGAGTCAGTGTCAGTTTCACTACATTGCATGTTTGTTAGTAATTGACTATTTGAGCGTTGAATAAATTTCTACTTTTGTTATGATGGATGTTTTATGTTGTTTATGAACTTAATTATGTTGATGTATTTCGTAGTATTGATGAACAAGAAAATGTGAGGTAAAAATGTATAATGATGTATACTTGAATTTCTACCTACTCATTATTATAGTTCCTCTTATATTGTTATGATATCTTACCATTTCTGTTTGAATATTGCCTCTACGTAGATAACGTGCAGATGATTTGAAGTAGTTCGAGGTCGAGGTTAGTCGAAGAGTTATCTCAGTTGCGTAGATTGAGTCGGTGTCTGCTCTGATACATAACACTTGAGGATTTTGCGTTTGTCTTATTATGTTGAGAATAAATTTTGTATAACTCTGTTGTTTTGAATTCACTTTATAATTATGTTGATTTTTGAATGATGAAAAATACGACTTATGTTGAGGGTTGAAAATAATTATTTATTGATGTTTTCCGTTGCAAATAAATACAATAAAATTGAAGACTTGAAATTTATGATTTTATGTTACGTATCTTGTTTATTAAACATGTATGATATATGATGATGTGACATCCTATTTATCGATATTATTTTAGAAATTAATTTACTCTGATTTTTATTTAAAATTATAAAAAAAAATTACATAAGACATGTCTGCGAACTCTTAAATCAGATAGCAAGACATGTTATAAATTATTATCCTATCAAATAGGAAAAAAAACTTGAAAGACAACTATTCTAGATCGAATGTAAAACCTAACGAAATAGATGGTAGGAAGGGTACATAACTTCATTTTCCCTCCACATTACATAATATCCCATACCTAACGAAATAGATGGAAGGAAGGGTACATAACCTCATTTTCCCTCCACATTACATAACATCCCCATACTAATGTCTACGAGTCAGCCACTTTCCACGTATATACAGTTACCAACCATCTATTATGTCTTTCTTGCTCATTCAAATTTTATTTTACTTTTATTTTTCCAAATATCATTCACTCATTCAAATTTTATTTTACTTTTATATTAAAATAAAAGCTTTCTCCAAAAGCTTTGAACTACTATAAGTCACCTTGAATTCCAGAACTCTGATTTTCATACACTTCAATAGCAAAACAAAAACTTCAAATTTGGTTAATAAGTGTAATTTTTTAAATTTAATTTTGAAATTTGTATAAATTTATAAAATAAAAAATATGAGAGAGAGTCGTTACATGTAATATAATATTAAATATTAAGTGTTTGAGTAACAATTTTCTAAATTTAATATGTATTTTTCAAATAAATAAATAAATAAATTTAACATTTATATTATATTTTATGAATATTACATTACTATATCACTAAAATTAACTTTAAAATAGGGTGAATTTAAGTATTAAAATATCATTTCTAGTAAATTTATTAGTCTAAATACTAATGCGTCAATTGTAGGAATAGAAATGAATCTTGTTAAAAGATCTATAGGATAAGTTGAAAAGTCAGCATGACCCATGTTATTCGCAAAGGCAATTTAGTCAAAATATTATAGCTTAATACCAACTACTAATAAGCAACCCAAATAGCAAATGCCAACCAAATTAGTTTAGCATTATCCTAATATACATCAAATCCCAAGCTAATTCAACTTTAATATTAAGTACAGACAAAGGGACCACAAGTTACCCTATCAATCATAATAGAACCTTAATAAAGACGTAAATTAAAGCCCTTCTTTTTCTAGCATCCTTATCAATACTCTAAACAAAAGATAAGATAAGATTTTGTTCAAGATACGTTCTAACCATACTAATCACAAGTAACCATACCTTTTCATAATCACCACTCATCTATCCAAACTTTTGTTGTTTATAATTTTCCATAGCATTAATGTAATTCCAATAATCATATCCATATCCATGGAAAACAAAGAAACAAAACATCATCAAAAGAAGAAACAAAAAATATGTTCATTATTATGAAGCTTTCATTACTTTGGTAGTAGACCCACAATTGGATATGCAAGGAATATCCTTTAACAAAATTCTTTTACTTTATTTCTTCTAAGACAATTCATTATTTACTTTTAAAAAAATGCAGGTTCAAACCCGCGACATCGACATTGACACCCGGCAACACCGGGTGCAAGTTCAACCTCTGGGTGCGCAACATTGACATCAGATGCAAGATTGAATTTCCAGCCGATAGACTCCTTGAAAGAAAAATTCATTTTTTTTTAAAAGTCTTGGCAAAATATAAAAGAGAAAAAGATAACAAGTTATTCAATTCATTTAGTAGTAGTTTAAGCAACAAAAGAATAAAAGAAAAAAGTTTATGTTAATGTTAAATAACTAATTAATTAATCATCTCCATCTTCATCATCTTCCTCATCATCATGTTCTTGTAGATCTGCAAGAGAAAAGCTTCTTGACTTAAAGCTCCTAAGTCTAAGCCTCATTTCAGCCGCATAAGATTCATGCATTCTACCATGACCAATCTGAACTTGATCTTCTTGTTTCTTCTCCTCTCCCAAGGAAGAAGAAGACGAAGAGGATGAAACTTTTCTGATCTTTTCCTCTTCTTCATAATCATAATAACCATCACCATAATCATCATCATGATCCTCATTCACAGGAAAAAGAGGCATGGATTTAGGGTTTGACCATGAATAGAAAGACGATTTCCTCGAAAATTTAGAAGCAATCAGAACCCTTCTTCTCTTGTTGAAAGGACTCTCTTGCTTTCGCAATTCGGTTAAATTTCTTACTTGTGATAGATCTGTGAATGACTTTGATTTTCCTTCAAAATGACTCGATAATCCCCTCCTAATCACGAGATTAATCAAAAAATTAAACTATGATAAAACATGAACACATCAAAAACCAAAGTAGAGAGAGAAAAGGAACAAACTTGATGGGGAGAGAGTCTTCTAGAGAATCCAACGAACCCAATCCACTTCTTGTCTTCATCTGACTCTGCACTTCTTCATCGTTGTCACTATCATCGGGACTCCCGATGGACGACGAACTTTCCGGCGAACCGCCGCCGAAAAACTTCGGTGGTCCCGAGATCCGGAAAGTTGCCGGAACTTCATCTTCATTTATGAAGAGGCGGCGGTCGGTCTGATCGGAAGGCGGCGGAGATGGAGTTGGAGGAACATCTATGGTGAAAGTGGGACCCACTAAAACCTCCATTATAACCCAAAAAACAAAACTATTTGTTTAAGGAAAAAAAGAAAGAATTTGATTACCCTTGTCCTGTTCTTCTTTTCTTTGTTTTGGGCTTATGAGTAAAAGGGTTATTTGTCATCAAAATTCAGAATAATTAGAAACAAGAGCAATATAACTAACTCAACACAATGAATGAACTATTAGATTCATCTGTAACAAAACTGAAAAATGGTGTTGTGTTTGTGTGTTGTTGTTCATTTATTATCATGAAGAAAGAAAGAGATGAAGTGTGTTGTTGTTGTGAGTGAAAGTAGAATGATTATATAAAATTATTTATGAATAAAAAATATGATAGAGATAAATACTGAAAAATAAATAAATAATAGGAAAATAAGAACAATGAGGTGAGGGTAGATGAGGGAGAGAGACAGAGGGGTGGTTTGACACGTTTGGAATGACGTGGCAAGAAGCTAGACTAGATCAAATCTATTTACATTGTTCATCATCATGGGTACAGTGTCTTACTCTCATCTCATACTTATCCAGTTATCCTTATGAACGTTTCTTTTTATTCATGACAGATCATGTATGTAGTAGTAGTAGTAGTATAGTTACTTTTGGAAGTTCAGTTTTTATTTCAATTTTCTTTTTAATAAAAAAGTGGTTAATTAAATTGATTAATTAAAAATATTGTGTCACCTTCAAGATCATATTATGGTGTAGTTTGTGAATATTTTCATTCCTAATTTGTAATTATTTTGGTTACTTGCTTATCATAATTGTGATGTTTGATAAAATATTTTATGTTATATATTATTAAATCAATCTTTTTTTAATATGTTATGATATTTTGTTATAAATTTATAAAACATAAGTGGATATTTATATATTTTATCAGTCATTTTGATTTTGACAAAAGAGAGAAGTATATTTTCCGAAAGAGAATATATATTCTATTTAATTTAAGAGGAGTATTATCACTCTAAAATATATATTTGTTTTGTTTCTTTTACCACCTCCTAAGAAATGCATTGTCATCATAAAAAAGTAAAGAATGTGGAACCTTATTTTGCAGCTAATAAATTTTTCTTTTGATGATGATAATTGTGAAGGACAAGAATAGATATCCAGAGTGATAAAGATGTAACATGATAACAACAATAAAAGATTAGAAAAGATGACACTCAACAGAATAAAGATGCAATATAACGACAATCGTAAAAGATTAGAACATATGACATTTTGCAAAATAAATATGCAACATAATAACAACGTATAACATTCAGCATAGTAAAAGATGTAACCATTAAGAAAGTCTGTGAATGCATTTGTCACTTAGATAAATGTTTTGCATGATGTCAAAATTAAAATTTATTTAGTTTTTCTGTATATTGAACGGTATCTCTAAGTCATTGTACACCAACGCATTAGTGATTTTAGAATGCATCTAGAACATGTTTGAAAAGATTGTTAATAAGTATCATGCACTAAAAAATGATTTATTAGTACCACGGTTTTGTGATTGGTTAAATTTTGACAAAACATGGTTTGTCATAACAGGATGTGTTGTTATGTGATTTTCAACCAGATGTCAAAGACAATGTCATGACATCTTGGTCTGGTGCAGCAAATCGTACTGTTTGATATTTCTTGACAAGATTTGATTTGATTTCTAAGATTCCTTTTGGATATATCTCAGTTATTTTTGCAGGTCAAGAAGATGCATCTGAAACAACTGAATCAAATCTCCAACATTAAAAATTTCTAAAATTGGTTATTGATCTTACCTGATCAGACTTGGACTGTCACGACTGACTCCGAGCTGAAGTTTGAACGAGATGGGGGGGGGGGGGGGGGGGGGGGTACCTGCAAGGCACTCCGATGCTGAAGTAAGTGAGAGTACGAGCAGGCAAAAGTATGAGTATGGGTAAAAGAATGAATACCTGACCCTCTGGGAACATAGGGTATTTATAGCCCCCAGCGCTGGGCCAAGGTCCCTTTATTGGGCCGGGCAGGTTTGGCCCAATGAAGGAACTTCCAGATTCCACGTGTGTAGTGGGGACCCGCACGTGGTCTCCTTCCTGGGTGTCCTGCGAGAAGTACGGACGGACGAGGACGCGGTCTTTTCGGAATCCAGAACGTGGCGTGATGGTCATAGTCTGCCCTACGAGGAGCGCTCGAGCAGAGGTCGAGCTGGGCTGCATGAAGTCGAGGATGTCGTGGACAAGGCTGTAGCTTCTGGGTAGGAGCGACCTTCTGCAGGGCCATTTGGATTTGGGCCTTCATCCTTGCTCTTGGGCCAGCGCGGCCCAGTCCAGAACAGGAGCCCCCCAAGTCGTGGTTCCTGGGGTGGAGCCATCACTTGATCTTAGTTCGCCTTTGTCACGGGGTCACGCTCCCGGACAAGAGATGTGGTTCCCCGTGGTTGCTCGAGGAGTTTCCCCCTGTATCGCGCCCGTGAAGTAATCCTCTTGAGGAGTGCTCGGGGGACTCTCGACGAGGAGTCTCTTGAGCACACGAGGCATCTCTTGGGAACCGTGCCGCCACCCTATTAACGATAGGGTCATTATTGCCTAGGGGAGCTATGCGTCGAGGAGGGAAGTCTGTGGTTTCCCGGTGTGACGTTTCGTATTCCACGTCATCACTATAAATAGCGTCCTTGGGCCCCATAACATGTTTTTCCTCTTCGCGCTTCTCCTCCTTCCTCTGCCTTTGCTGCTGCTGTTCTTTCCAGATATTCATAGGACCGTCGTGCCCTTCGTCGCTGATTCTCCTTTCCGCCGTCGCACTTCTTTTCAGATTTCAAGTAAGCGTCTTGTCCCCCATGCTTTTCCTCTGTGATGTATGATATTTTTCGTTGTTCTTTAGACGCTAGAGACTGTACGCCTGGGATTAGCCCCGGTAGATTAGTGCTTGGTTCGGCAAATCCATGTTTATGCCCGGCAAACGCATGTTTGCGCCCGGTAAACGCATAGTTTAGGTATTTGACTCGCGGTGTTGCCCGGGATCTTCATGATTCAGGGCGCCTAATTCGTGGTAGTTCCCGGTAAACGCATAGCTCTAGTTTTGGGATTTATGATATCACTCGCCATGTTCATAGCCTGGTCGACATATTCGTGAGTGGTCGAGATGTTGGTCCATTTAGGCGATCTGTAGGAAGACTTTTCGTGGTACCTGGGAGTCAGGGAGGTGACACCATCTTTTTTAGTCGTGCGTGGAGTGACACGGTTTGTCGCGCCCTTCTTCCCGTCCGTTATGGCGAGCGTGTGGATTTTCTCCCCAATTGATCGGTTTCCTGTGCTTTGCAGGTAACAATGGCGGACGAACCGTGTTCCTCGGGGCGCACTGAGGCGGAAGACCAAAATGATGAGGAGAATGTGAATTTGGTTGATACCATAGAGGATCCTCTGCTGGAATGGGTGGGCGCCGAGCCCAGAGGGATCACTTCGGCCTATAGTCGACGCAGTCGAAGTGCGTTCACCATCATCGAACAGGGCGGTAGTCAGCCCGGTTTTCAGAAGAACTTTGTCGTCACTAGGCCGACTCTTACTGCCCAGATTTGCTCGGAGTTCCCCGAGTATGGGTTCCCGATGTACGAGATTGCTTTCAAGGACCTGGGGTTAAAGCTCCCCTTCAGCGATTTTCAGGTCGGGGTCTTCAGTCATCTGGAGCTGGCCCCGACGCAGCTTCACCCAAACTCGCTTGCTTTCATCCGGACGTTCGAGCTGACGTGTCGGTTTCTAAGGATTGGGGCGACCATACCCCTCTTCTTCAGAGTCTTCCACTTACAGCGCCAGTCCCGGGGAGGTAGGCATAGCTGGGTTTCCCTGAAGCAGTCGAAGAGACTGTTCAGGATGTACATGGATTCCGTCCGGGGCTTCAAGGACAAGTGGTACATCGTGAGGCCGGTTACCACAAGGGGTTTAGAATCTTTATATGAGGAAGAAACGGTCGTGATCGACGATCACAGGGAAGCCCTTCTAGACAACGAGGGACGCCCGGTGTTAGGGCGCGTGGCCAAATTTCCCTTGCATTGGACCTCGCGGCTCTACGAGCATGGCATCGGGTACTACCATACGTCCGCGGGCGAGATGAGCACCGAAGACGAGAAGGCTTATGGTACTCTCTTCCGGTATGTCGATAGTTTCTTCCCCGCCCGGTGGGCCACGAGGGAGGGGAAGGATATTCTTGACGAAGAAGGTTATCCGACCTTCGAGGCCCGACCGATCGATACGAAGGCACTTGTGGAGTACCAGTCCTTCGGGCAGGCCGCGAACCTGCTAGGTCATTATTGTTTTGTCTTGTTTGAATTTCTTCACTTGTTACTTGTTCGTCACTAACCCGGGGTCATTTTATGCAGGTCTCATGGCTGGACGAAAGGAGAGGCTCCTGAAGCTGACACAGGATAAGAAGGTTAACAAGAGGTTGGTGCGAGCTCCTCAGGCGACGAGAATGGGCCCGCCAACTAGCCCGGGCGCTTCTTAGGCGACGAGGATGGGCCCGCCAACTAGCCCGGGAGTTGCTTCGGGAGGGACCCCGGACCCTCAAGATGTCGAGCCACACACTGATCTGATACCGAGGAAGAGGAATCGGGTGGAAAGCCAACCAGAGGTCGGCGAGGATTCTAACACAGTGAGGTCCTTCGGGTTACCCCCTTGTTTTAAAGAGGAGGGTTTCTTCGAGGGATATCCCTTGTCCGTGAGTGCTGATGAAGCTGATACCATTAGGCGGATGAGCAAGGAGAGTCGGAGAAGGCATCTGGCCGCCAATATGGTTGGGCTGGTCAAGATGGCTGAGATGGCCGTCGTGCTAGCCGAGGAGGGGGTAGATTCTGATCGTATCAAGGAGCTGGAACAGGAGAAAGCTGCCCTTACTTCGAGTTCTCGAAAGTTGAAGGCTGCCCTGGAGCGCTCCGAGGAGATGTTCCGCGAGCAAGCCGAGCTGCTGGCGGCGGAGACAAAGTTGCTGGATGTGGAGAAAGAGAACTCGGGGAAGATTGTCGAGGAGAGGGACTATTTCCATGA